GAGGTGCATGCTCTTTCACTCGATATAGTGAGAGGAGCTTTAAAGGGGTCACTTAGTGATTCAAAGAATATTCTTCATGCAGGGGGCACAGAGGGATGGGGGTCTTTGGGGGGAGGGTACGGGCCCCTAGCGGGAACCGAACCTGGACTCTGGTCCGCAGGCCAATGCTCCAACCGCTGAGCCAAACCGGCCAGGGCAAGGGATGGGGGTCTTAATCCCTGAGATTCCAACAAGGAGAGAACTAGCTGGCTGGTCCTACAGCAAGGACTATCCAAGAGTGGGCTGTGTTGGAATTTGCTTACACTCCAGTGTTTGTCAGGGCAAAGAAAATATGAGTGTTTCCTACAAAGCAGAGGCAGGCCCAGTGGAGAAGAGTTTGAGTCCTGCCCAAATAAACTGCCTGGAAGGGCAGTGAGGCTCCATAGTGAGTCTTTTAAGTGACAGCCATTAGACCAGGAGGTGAATGAATTCTCCACGTCAGTGCAGCTACAGCTAGAAGGAACTAACTCTGAGGTGAGACCGAAGAACCCACAGAGTGCATCTGAGAAACAAGTCACCTTCAGACACCATCAGACAGGCCTTTGGCAGGACCATTTAAGTTGGAATCTTCTTCCAGCGTACTTCTCTCTCATGCCTACTTTGGAGAACGACAGCTGGGGAGGGGGAGAAGCAGTCATCGAAAAGAGCCAAAGCTGATCGTACTCTCTTCCCAGAAGTGGTTGAGAAAAAAGATTTGATTACCAAGTGAACATTGGTTTGTTGACTAAAGTAACCCTAGGTCTTTCTGTTACTTAACATCGACTAGAAGAATCAAGTGGTCATCCAGTGGCAGGGGAACTTTCCCCTCTGCATAAATTTTAAAAGGATAATTGAGACAAAAATAAAGTTGTATTTGATTATATCCAGCAGTTAGTGCTTGTTCATTGGACATAAAAATCTGTAAAAATGTTTATAGTTGGTATAGAAGATCAAAATCTACAGTAGTGCATAAAGAATTGCTTTTATTTTTTTTAATTAATTAATTAATTTATTTATTTATTTTTATCCTCACCCGAGGACATTTTTCCATTTTTTGTTCAGGTAGAGTGGGAGGGAGAAAGAGGAACAGAGAGAGAGAGAGAGAACCATCGATGCGAAAGGAACACATCGAATGGCTGCCACCCGCACAACCGACCAGGGCCGGGGACAAACTGCAACTGAGGTACGTGCCCTTAGCGGGAACCGAACCCGGGTCTCTCAGGACCGCAGGCCGACGCTCTAACCGCTGAGCCAAACCGGCCAGGGCTTGCTTAATTTATTTTTTAAATTTTATTTTTGTTACAGATTTTTCTCCTTTTTTACCCCATTGGCACTCCCCTCCCCATCCCCCCCACCCCGTCCCTGGCTTGGTTGTCCATGTCCATTGGTTATGCGGACATGCGTATAAGTTCTGTGGTTTATCTCTTCCCACCCCACCACCCCCTCTTCTGAGAGTTGTCAGTCTGTACCCTACTTCCATGTTTCTGGGTCTACCGTATTCCTCAGACTGTTATGTTCATTATATTCCGTATATAAGTGAGATCATGTGGTATTTGTCTTTTTCTGCTTGGCTTGTTTCACTTAGGATAATACTTTCCAGGTCCCTCCATGTCATCTCAAAGCTTAAGAGATCTTTCTTTCTTATAGCTGCATAGTGTTCCATTGTGTATATGTACCACAGCTTTTTTACCCATTCATGTATTGATGGACACTTGGGCTGTTTCCAGATCTTAGCTATTGTAAATAGTGCTCCTATGAACATGGGGGTACATATATTCTTCCTGATTGGTGTTTCAGGCTTCTTAGGGTATATTCCTAGAAGCAGAATCACTGGGTCAAATGGAAGTTCAATTTTTAATTTTTTGAGGTAACCCCATATTGTTTTCCATAGTGGCTGCACCAGTCTGCATTCCCAGCAGCAGTGTACAAGAGTCCCCTTTTCTCCACACCCTCGCCAACATTGTTGTTTGATGATTTATTGATGGCGGCCATTCTGACAGGTGTGAGGTGATACCTCATTGTTGTTTTAATTTGCAAGAATTGCTTTTATTCTTAAAAGTGTCTTGACATATGAGAATTACATGCAGTATAAGTATCTTGGATTTCTTTTTTTAAAATATTTTTTTCTTTATTGACTTTAGAGAGAGAGGAACGGGAGGGAGAGAGAAATAGAAACATTGGTGACAGAGACCATCGATTGGCCGCCTCCTGCATGCTCCCCACTGGGGATTGGGCCCAAAACCTGGTCATGTGCCCTGACTGGGAATCCAACCGGTGACCTCTTGGGTGCATGGGTCAGTGCTCAACCAGTGAGCTACACCGGCTGTGCCACCTTGGATTTCTTAATGTGGTCTCCTATTTAGCGTTGGCATTTTACTTAATTGTAAAAATGCCTTTATCCAAAAGTAGATGTTATAATACTATTCTTCTAGCCTGACTAGATTGTTTCGTAAGCATGATAGATGACTAAACTTTTTTGAATGAGATTAAATTATTATAAATTGGGGATATTTTTATATAAGATAGTAAACTGGCCCTGGCTGGTTTGGTTCAGTGGTTCGAGTGTCAGCCTGTGGACCAGAGAGTCCCAGGTTTGGTTCCCACTAAGGGCACGTGCCTCAGTTGCAGTTTGTTCCTGCCCCTGGTTGGGGTCGTGTGGGTGGCAGCCACTCGATGTGTCTCTCTCATGTCGATGTTTCTCTCTCTCTTCCTCCCTCTCTCCCTCCTGCTTTATCTGAAGATAAATACAAAAATGTCCTCGGGTGAGGATAAAAAAAAAAAAAATTAAACTAGCCCTGGCCGATTTGGCTCAGCGGTTAGAGCGTCGGCCTGTGGTCCAGAGAGACCTGGGTTTGGTTCCCGCTAAGGGCACGTACCTCAGTCGCAGTTTGTCCCCGGCCTTGGTTGGGTTGTATGGGTGGCAACCACTCGATGTGTCCCTTTCACATCGATGTTTCTTTCTCTCTCTCTCTCCCCCTCCCTCCCTCTCTCTCCCTCCCACCCTATCTGAATAAAAAATGGAAAAAGTGTCCTCGGGTAAGGATAAAAAAAAAAGGTAAACTAAAAAAATTCTTATTTTTCCTTAAGCAAACCTATATTGAACAGCTGTTTACATCTGGGGCTGGGGCTGTGCTAACTCATGTGACCAATCGCCTCTCTCTACTGTCCACTTCTGAACCATCCCCCCGCCCCACACACACCAGCACCTAAGTAAGGATTGCATTGTTTGTACAAGCTCTTCATTTTTTTGTTTTTTAAAATGTTGTTATTGATTTTTTAGAGAGAGAGGAGGAGGGAGAGAGATAGAAACATTGATGTGAGAGAGATGCATCAATAGGTTGCTTGCTTCCAGTCCCCTGCTGGGGATCGAGCCCACAACCTAGGCATTATGTCCTGACCAAGAATTGAACCAGGACCTCTCAGTCCATGGGGTGATGCTCAGTCCACTGAGCCACACTGGCCAGGCTCTACATTGTGTTTTAAGATCACAGTCTCTTTTTTTTATAATAAGAGAAGAAAGAAAATAGAAATAGCTGATTAAAATATACAGAATTTTAAAAATAACTTAAAATGTAAGAAGGCAAAGAAAATGAAATTGTTAGTTTGGTAAAGCTTCATTTGGACCCTGTTATTAAGAAATGATCATTTGCATAGAGTCTGGACTTCCTTTGCTGAAGAAATGTAGTAATATACTAGTAGACTTTCAGGGCCTGATGGAGATCTATAGATATCTGTCTCGCTTTATAAGACAATTTGTTGTTAAAATTCTAAATTGTTAACTTCTGTGCTAGATACTTCTGCGTATAGCTACATTTTCTCTAATCCTTAGTAATTCTGGAAATGTTTCGAGATAAGAAAACAGATGCAGGGGTAGTGATTTGCCTAAGGATACATTGTAGTTACAGAGTTGGGGGATTTTGACCCAGATCTATGTTTCTTTAGGCCCCATTAGTTTATTGGACTTTTTAAGAGGAATTTACAGACTTGATATCCTATAAGATCACTGATTTCTTTGGTACAAAATTATGATAATTTGTACTCAGTATTTGTTTCTCTCTCTTGTGGTTTCCTTTGTTTTGGTTTTTACAGAATCAGGACAGGAAATTATGACTTCTGATTCTTTTTTTTTTTTATTGTAAAAGGTAACATACTTTCAGAAAGATGATGCAATCTATATGTATTGTTTTACACCCAGTAATTTATCCAGGTCTACTAATAGTCTACCTGTGTATGACCTGATTCCCTTAGCAAAAGAACTAAGCCCAGACTCTAGGCAAATGTTTAGTGCTTAACTACTAGGTACAAATGGGTTATGACTCTCTTTTGACTCCCCAGTAGTTAACAACTATCCTTACTTTAGCGGTCATAATTTCTTTGCTGTTTGACTTAAAAAAAAATTTTTTTTTATTTACTAATTTTTAGAGAGAGAGATAGAAACATTAATGAAAATTCTATTTGTTGTTCTACTTATTTATGCATTCATTGGTTGAGTCTTGTATATGCTCTGACCAGGGATCAAACCCGAAACTTTGGCATATCAAGATGACACTCTAACCAACTGAGCTGCCCAGCCAAGGCCTGCAGTTTGACTTCTTAAGGCATGCATTCCTAAACATCTCTTTCTCCTTAAAAAAAAAAAAGAAATTATTTTCATAGAGTAGAAGTTGCTTAAAACCATAGAAATCAGGATAGAGATTAATAGTATTTGGGTCATAAAGTATTATATGATTTATTCAAGAATACATACTTTTCACTAATTTGCTGAAACACAAATAATTGTTGCTATGCTGATTACAATTAGTATTGGCCAATCTTTTGAGCTATAATTCATATTTGTTACTAATTTATTCCAATTTTCCCCATTCATTGGGCTTGGTAATACTTTTTTACGTTAATATTTTCTAAGTATGTATTATAACTTGTGGGATAAGTGCAAATATAATTTGCCATGTTGTAATGTCCCTTTTTTTCTCTCTTTACAGCATGGGTAAGTTCTCTCTCCATGGGGATGATTTTCTTTTGCTGCCCAATAGCCAGCGTCTTCACAGACATATTTGGTTGTCGGAAAACAGCTGTTGTGGGTGCTGCTATTGGATTCATTGGACTCCTGTCCAGTTCTTTTGTAAGGTAAGGACTTGGTTTCTTCATGTTGCTTTTCATGTTAGATAGCTTCAAGTTTTCCTTTCAGAAACTTTGCTGTTTACAAGGAAAATCTTCCTTTTCATTGCTTAAACTGTAAGAAATATGATTTACACACTGTTTTCCATAGCAGCAAATCAGAGCTTGAGAAATTGAATGCTTTTGCTTGCACACCTAAGAGATGTCAATCAGGATATATGTGTTCCCTGGAGCAAGAAAAATGTTTCTTTTTTTTTTTTATTCACATAAAAATCCTAAAAGAACTCATAACAGTGAGTTATCTAAAGCAATAGCATTAGTTTAAGGTCAGCTCGGTCTGAGGCCCAAAGAGTACAATAAGTGGTATGTTCAAGTAGTTTCATAGGCTAGATATGAAATCAATTTAAATAAAAACTTTGTTATTTATTTAACACAGGTAGAGAATTCCTGTGTGCATTAAAAAAAAAAAAAAAAGAGCATGGTAAATTTTTAAAAGATTATGGCAAAATGAATTGGCCAAATGTAGCTTAAAAGAAAAAAAAATATTAATGCACTTTGCCTCTGTCTGTTAAAGGATGTAGTTCATTGAAGAGGAACTAACTAACTGCAAGGAGTTGATGGGCATATTACTGTAAGAAGCACTTCTCCCTCCAGTTCCAGTTCTGCTAGTCAATCCCTTTGCATTGCCAGAATAATCCCTAGTTAGAGAAGCACTGGTTTAATATGTTAGTCTGGCTAATAGAAGGTGATTAACAAGAAAACCTCTTAAAATGATTTCCATCTTGTATCTCCTTTAGTGGTTTATCTTAATTTTCTGCCCCTTTCTCTTTCCTAGCTATCTTCATGCACTAGTTGAAAAGTATTATTGAGGTCATTAGAAAAAAACACAGACTTACATTTCTTGCCTTGATTATTTTTAAATATTATAGATTTAATTAACAAATCCTTGCTTTACCAGTTTTACACCCACCCACCCTACCTGTACCCTTTCCTCAACTCTAAAATGAGCCTCTTTATTTACTTAACTTAGAAATTTTATTTGGATTCTAAACAATTATTTTTATGTCTTGATAGAAATTATATATTCCATCTTTAAAGTGCTTTTATGATATTTTTCTTCTAAATTTGTCTTTTAAAGAATCAAAAAACAATTTTGTTAGAAAAAAGATTCTGCTTGGGTAATTCTGGTCATTTACTTTGAGTTCTTTTTTTTAAAGAGGAAGTTCTAACTTTAAAAAAAAAAAGATTTTATAGAAGGAGGAAGGGAGAGAAAAACATTGATGTGAGAGATACATTGATCCATTGCCTCCCAGATGCGCCCCGAGCGGGCATTGAACTTGCAACTTAAGTATGTGGCCTGATTGAGAATCGAACTCATGACCTTCTGGTGCACAGGATGATGCTCTAACCAACTGAGCCATACTGGTCAGGGCTATAACTTTTAGTTCTTTTATTAGAGTAATACAACACTGTGCTGTTACCACCATGTCAGATACCTGGTTTGGTCTGGAAGCTTCCAGGTACCCAGTGTCAGTACCTATGGGCCTAGCACTTGCCGAATGTATTAACAATTAAGCTTTGGTGGAGAGAGGACCAAGAGGTAGAAAACCCATGTGATTTATTGCCTTGTTTGGTAGACAAAACACAGGTATACAAACCTACTTATAGCAAGCAATGTTTTTCTTTTTTTTTTTTAAAGCAGCTTTTATTTATTTATTTTTTATCCTCACCCAAGGAAACTTTTGCATTTATCTTCAGATAGGGCAGGAGGGAGAGAGGGAGGAAGAGAGAGAGAGAGAAACATCGATGTGAGAGAGACACATTGAGTGGCTGCCACTCACACAACCCCATTCGGGGCCAGGGACAAACTGCAACCAAGGTACGCGCCCTTAGTGGGAACCAAACCCAGGACTCTCTGGTCTGCAGGCCAACGCTCTAACCGCTGAGCCAAACCGGCCAGGGCGCAAGCAGTGTTTTTCAAACTCTTTTGATGATTGAGAAATAAAAATTATGAAATATGTTTTACATTGTAACTCAACAAAATGTCTTGAAAACATATTTACCTTATTACATGTAATGTTCTCATATTTTCTATTCAGTTTCACTATTTAACCCACTGATCAAAAGCTACCAAACTTTTAGAGCAATATACAGGAGCAAGGGGCAATGTGGTATATATTCCAAGTATGGAAAAATGAACCCACTTTTCCTATAGTTCAAGTTCTGCCATCATGGGAAAGCCCTTCTTCAGCAGTCCCAGGTCACATGAGTGTCCCTGCTCTGAATCCTTTTTACACACATGATGGGTATCTTACTGATTTGCACTGCACTTAGCTGTCAAATGTCAACAATTTGATCTATTTGTTACTGAAATGGAAATTTAGAAGTAAGGGAAAAGGCTCAGCGGCGTGAAAATACCATCACAAAGCTTATGTGCTTTACTCCGTGGGAGAGATAGGAAGCTAATCTTACCCAGCACTTAGTATTTAAAATGCTGTGCAAAAGAATGTTTTCAGTTTATATCCATGTCTCCCTGGTCTTCTACCTGACAACTTTACATTACTGTGACATAGTAGTGTAGAAATTAATGTTCATCATGATACTGTGTTGTCAATACCATTTTTATTATATGCTTTGAAGAAGGCAGATAAATGTAAAATAGATTTACAGTTTTCCTTTAAAATTAAACAAATTAAAATTGTAAATAAAAAGAAATTAGTGCCTTAAAAAGTGAGTTGCAATTATCTGGAAAACTACTTATGTGGAAAAACCGATTCAGAATAAATGAAATATTATGTGTGTATAGATGTCTTGTTTTACTAAGCTGATTATGGGTAAGGCATAATCACATTTAAATTTTTCTTTTTTTTGGCCAAGTACCTGGAACACAGTAGCTGCTAAACATACGTTTATTGAATAAAGAATGGAGATTCAGTAATGGGTGATCAGAGTGAGTCAAGTTAAACTGGAAGTGACTCTTGAGCCTGATTAAAAGATGGTGCTGGCTGTGGATTAACAGGGGGAGGGCATCTGAGAGGATGGCAAACATGCTAAATTTTTATCTGATTCTAGAGTTCCTTGTGATTACCTCAGCATATTGCTAGCCTAGTAGTATTGTCCAAAATTTAATTATTAACCAACTTTATCTTAGTTTCTAATAAATAGTTTGCCTTTACAACTTGACAGTCTTTTGAATTGGACATTTCAAAGATAAAAACTCTAGTTTTCTTTTACTTTTTACCTTGTTTCAAAGAATGTAATGATGTGTTCCTTTTTTAAATTTTTTTATAAGAGATATGTAATTAAATTACTTGGTTAAACTATAGAATTCTTAATCCTTTATTATTTTTTGAGATGTATGTGGCCTTAAAGCTTACAGACTGGGATTACTAATGAACATGCTTCATTTAGCCTTTCTGTAGTCAGAATATGCCTTCTTGTTGTCTTGCACAACACTGAGTGCAATACAGGGCGAAGGTTGATTCTGCAGCCCTTAGGCCAGCAAAAATGAGACACAACTGCTCTTCTGTGCAAATGTTCCTGACATAACCTTGGAGAGGAAACATAAAATGCAGCCTTTTCTTTGAATACATTGCTTAGTAAGTGCCTGGGAAAACTCCATAAAATAATGATTTTTCATAGATAAAACTTTTATTGAGACTGAGTTTTTTGTTTGTTAGTTTAACCCCTGTCAGTTCTACGAAGGCCCTTCTTGGTACTGTCCTGCATGAATTGTGGGGAGCACAATATAGCTTTTACCCAGAGCTGCATGGTTCACCGGAAATCCATGGAAAGAGGAGGAACAAAGTCACTGATGACCTGAGTAGTCATTTTTGACGTACTTGAGGCATTTGCATTACTCTCATTCAGATTAAATTAAAACAGTGTTAGTGCTACATTCTTGGTTTATTAAGTTTTTCACCTGTATTTAGTTAAATTTTATATGTAGAAAATCACTGATTAACTTAAAACCCACTTTTATGCTAAGGTTTTATTCTACTAAGCACATGATAAAAATAATGAAAGCTGCTTTTCATTTTTTTCGTCTTTACACAGTTCCATCGAACCTCTGTACCTTACCTATGGAATCATATTTGCCTGTGGCTGCTCCTTTGCATACCAGCCTTCATTGGTCATTTTGGGACACTATTTCAAGAAGCGCCTTGGACTTGTGAATGGCATTGTCACTGCTGGCAGCAGTATCTTCACAATTTTGCTGCCTTACCTTTTAAGGGTTCTGACCGAGCGTGTGGGCCTCTTTTACACACTGAGGGTCCTCTGCATCTTCATGTTTGTTCTCTTTCTGGCGGGCTTTACTTACCGACCTCTTATTCCCCGTGTCAGAGATAAAGAGAGTGGAATCAAAGGGGGCAACAGATCCGCCCTCTTTCAAAGGAAAAAGTTCAGTCCTCCAAAAAAAGTTTTCAATTTTGCCATCTTCAAGGTGACGGCTTATGCAGTGTGGGCAGTTGGAATACCACTTGCACTTTTTGGATATTTTGTGCCTTATGTTCACTTGGTGAGTATGCTTTTTTGGCTTTAATATTATTATTTTTTTATACAGGGAAACTTAGAAGAGAAAGATAGATCAGGTTGAAGTTGGCCTTAGAAGTTCTGCTGATTACAATTCAGGGAATCCCTGAAGTTCAAGGTCTTTTAAGACAAGGTCAGCACATCCATCAGATCATTAAACAGAGGAAATGTTTAATGGCATGCTTTGATATTTTAAAAGTCACCAAACCTAAGCAAACAAAAACAACTTTTAAAAAAGGAACAAATGGCATCAGTATGAAAAACTTGATAGGTCACTGTTTCTTCAAGCAGCCTACAAATCATAATCAGGGACAAAGATGGTGTAGTGATTTTGACAATCTCAATAAATTCTTTTTGAATAAAAGGATGCAGAAATTAGGTAAATAGTAAAAGCCAGTGGCCTTGATTCAAGGAAGCATTACATTCCCTTGTGGCGTACTTCTGGGAAAATTGGAATTCTATTCAGGGGGTTGATTATTTGAGAAACGTTCCCAATGAGAGGAGAGGGAAGGGTTTCATAGGAAATTAGGATTTTAAGAGCTCAAGCAATTTATATTGTTTATCTCTATTTCAAAGGCAAATTCAGCCTCTTTATACTGAACCAAGAATAAGCAGTGTCCAAATATGGCAGAATTTGCTCAAGGGTGCCTATTAACGTTTTTTCCTTTTTTTCTTAACTGTTGTGGCTGAAAGTATAGTGACAGTTCAACATAGTTGATAAACAAAAATGATAATAGGATAAATTTTTCCTTTGTATGTCTACTGTGTGTGTGAACCCAGATCTTTTCTAGCTTTTAGTCTACTTTTGGACGTTTGTGCAATTTTTCTTTAGTTAAAGATTTTAGTGAAAGTTCGTAATGCAGTTCAAAAAATTACTGGGCTCGAGGGGTCAGCTGGTAAACTATAGCGTCGACACTGTGGGTTTCTGTACCCAGTTCAGAAAGGAATTAGGTTAAGGAAACATGAAGAGAGATGGCAGGCAGGTCCTGAATCCATGAATACTTTTGATTTCTCAATTCTCCTTATTCTCTTTTTGCCAGAGGTGTTGGGGAAGCATCTGGGATGACCACTGGGGAGACAAGAAGGACTAGGTTTTAGTACTCTGAGCCACTTGGCATTTTGCAGTGACTGAACTACTAGGTAAAATGAGCTATATGTAACCCCTGTCACAGTGTGTGGCTACATCTTGATCTAATGGTCCATTTCTCACATTTTGGGAAGGCATATCTGAACCATTGAACTTTTTTTTTTGGATTGTAGATCCATTGTGGAAGGATCAACTTTACCAACTATCTCTTCCATAGTTTCTTTAGTTAAGATATTTGTTATTTTTTTTTCAAAGATGAGTAGATTTTTAATTTAAAATTTTTAAATTTTTTGATGTTTTTATTGATTTTTTTAGAGACATAGGAAGGGAGAGGGAAAGAGAGAAACATCAATCTGTTGCCCCACACGCATCCCAACCAGGGATAAAACCTACAACCTGGGTATGTGCCCTGACTGGGAGTTGAATTGGCGACCTTTTTGTGCACGGGCTGATGCTCAACCACTGAGCCACGCTGGCCAGGGCAGATGAGGGTAGATTTAAAAAAAAATTATCTTTGATACTACAAAGTGAACACATGCAGAGAAATCAGTCTCTCAGCTTTGTTATACTAAACATTTACCAAAGGAAAAGTAGTGGGTGACTGTCTAGTTATTTCAGGTAATATATTTATAACTTGAAAATTAATTTAACATGTATTATTTCATTTGACCACCACAATAAATCTGTGAAGTAGGCAAAATAAGTAATATTAACCTATGTTGTACAGACTGGAAAACAGATCCATCATTAACAGAATCTTATATGACTTCCCGGGAATCATGTAACGTCAGAGTAGGGGTTGGTTCTCTTCCACTATGCTTACCTGGTAGCAGATCTGACAGCCTTACTTCAGAGCACATTGGGTCACTTCCTGGGCTGTGCCACCGGAAGTGCCCATCTTATTGGTGGCGGGGGAATGAGTATGCCTACGAAAACTTAATAAATATGTTACAATCTTTTTCTTAAAGTAAATAAGTTTCTCCGTGAGTGATGAGTTAGTGTTATCAATACTGTCATCACCAGGAGGCTATAAACAAGAGAGTGCACAGAACAATAAGGTCTCTGTTGACTCTGATAACAAGCCAGGCCTTTTTCCTGCTTTTCTCCGTTAGGCATGTTTTCTTACAAAAGGTGTTGATATTTGGGATTTTCTCTTTGTCAAATTGTTACAACACTGAAAGCCACCTTGGAGAGGAAACAGAAGACAGTTAAATGCCACACAGGGTGTTTGAATCTCACGTTTGATGGGTGCACTGAGTTGTCACTGCGTTGTGATATAAGATTTGGATTAAAGACACTTATTCCAGACTTCATGGAATGGGACACCACTTTCCCCCTCAGAGGGGGAAAGGTATCACAAATCTTTCCAAAGATTAGTTGATGATATTCAGTTCATATTAAACACTCTTGTTGAAGGGTATAGGCATGTAAGGCATAAGAACCTGTCCTGAAGGAACATAAAATCTAGTAATGTAATAAAAACCATTATAATTTTTAAAAGACTTTTATATACATTATCTTATTTAATCTTCAAAACAATGCACTAGCTTTGATGTAGCATCCTCATATCATAGATGAGAGGACTGAGGCACTGAGCGTTTGAAAACTTGCCCAGGGTCCACAGAGATAGTGACTGATAATTAGTGTAGTACTTTTATGCAAGAGGCAGTATTATGTGGTGGGTAAAGGTAACAGCTCTGAAGTAAGACAGATCTGGGTTTGAATCCAGGTTTTATTTTTGATTAGTTGGACAACCTTGGGTAACCTCTCTAAGCATTAGTTTCTTCATCTATTGAATAAGGATAACCCCAGTTTTGCAAAGTTGTTACAAGGATTAGAGAAAGCATATGTAAAGCATCTATTCAGTTCTGGCATAAAAATGAGAGAGTTATTTTAAGACAATATGATTGACAATTGAGTAGTTTTGAGAGGCGGGGGACCTTAGAGTTAAAGGAAAAAGATGATGTATATGCATTTGGAAAAGTGGTTAGTAAAAACTTTACAGGATTGGAATTGGGCCTTGAGCATGAGATTTGAGTTAAAACCCAATCTTTAATCAACTAGGGAACTAAGTTATCTATCTAGGTCTTCTTTAAAGATTCAGAATGAAGTACTCTCATGGTTATGTTAAAAATTCTAAGATCTCGACTTCTGGTCAAGATGGCGGCGTAGGTAAACGCGGTATCACGTCCTCCCACAACCATATCAAAGTTACAACTAAACTACAGAACAACCATCATTCAGAACCGCCTGACATCAAGCTGAATGGAAGTCCCACGACTACGCAATTAAAGCAGCAGCCACATGGAGACTGGTGGGAGGGTAGGAGGCGCGACGGGGCTGGTCCCACACCCACGTGTGGTAGATAAAAATCAGGAGGACACCTCAGCTGGGAAGGTCCTTCCTGAGGACTGAGGGGTCCCTATCCCACACCAGGTGCCCCGCTCAGGGTTCCAATGCCAGGAAGAGAAGTCCCCATAATTTCTGGCTGAAAAAACCAGCAGGAACTGAGGCTCAGGGAAGCTGATGTGGCTGGAGCCCCAGGCAGCTCCTCTTAAAGGGCCTATGCACAGACTTATCAGACTCACTCCCTCTAAGCTTGGAGGGGAGGCAGTCTGAGAGGCGCCAGAGACATACAGGGAAGAACTGAGCTGTTTGGCACTGGAGATGGGGCTTTCTCCGGGACAGACATGCTGTCAGAGGCCTTTGCTCCTTTGATGAGCCCTTCCCTGGGGCGGCAGAATGCCGCCATATCTGGGACTCCAGCAACCTGGCTCACACTGGTAGCCCCACCCTGGTGATTCCCTGAGGCCCCGCCCCACCCAACTTTCAGGCCCACCCAAGCTGTTGCCAGTTGCTTAACCATAGGATTGACCTGTCTTGGATCCTGCTTCAGGTTTTCCTGAATTCTTTCAAACAAGCAGCATCTGGTCTCAGCCAGCCCCATATCTCTCATTAAGTAATACACTGAAACAAACACAGGGAGGCAGCCAAAATGAGGAGACAAAGAAACAGGTCCCAAATGAAAGAACAGAGCAAAACTCCAAGAAAAGAACTAAGCGAAATGGAGATAAGCAACCTAACAGATGCTGAGTTCAAAATACTGCTTATAAGGATGCTCAATGAACTTAGTGAGAACCTCAGTGAACTTAGCGAGGGCCTCAAGAGCATAAAAAAGGACCAGTCAGAAATGATGGCTGCATAGTCAGAAATGAAGGAGGTATTAACTGAAATAAAGAATAATTTACACAGATTCAATAGTAGAGTATGTAAATCCAAGAAGCAAACCATCGATTTGGAATAACAAGGAAGCAAAAAACGCCCAATCAGAACAGCAAAAAGAAAAAAGAATCCAAAAAAATGAGGATAGTGTAAGGAGCCTCTGGGACAACTTCAAGCGTGCCAACATTCGCATCTTGGGGGTGCCAGGAGAAGAGAGAGAACAAGAAATTGAAAACCTGTGTGAAACAATAATGGCAGATAACTTCCCTAACTTGGTGAAGGAAACAGACATACAAGTCCAGGAAGCACAGAGAGTCCCAAACAAGATGAACCCCAAGAGGCCCACACCAAGACACATCATCATCAAAATGCAAAAGGTTCAAGACAAAGACAGAATCTTAAAAGCAGCAAGAGAAAAGCAGCTACTTACCTACAAGGGAGTTCCCATAAGGCTGTCAGCTGATTTCTCAAAAGAAACTTTGCAGGCCAGAAGGGAGGCAAGAAATATTCAGAGTGATGAAAAGCAAGAACCTACAACCAAGATTACTCTATCCTGCAAAGCTGTCATTTAGAATTGATGGCCATATAAAGAGTTTCCTAGACAAGAAAAAGTTAAAGAAGTTCATCACCACCAACCGTTATTATATGAAAGGATGAAGGGTCTTTTTGAAGAAAAA